CAGTCCTCTTTCAGTCCCTCGTGGCTATCTGCCAGTTTGGTAGAAGGGAGAGCAAGTGAGGACTAGCTGAGCCAAGAGAAAGGGCGAGTCTGTGATGGCACGTGTGTGGTCACACTTCTCGCTCGGGTCTAGAAGAGAGCTTCAGATATTTGGTGTTACACTGCTTGCAGTCAAACTGCTAGCGCCTATTCAAAGAACGCAAGAGCTGTTAACCCTCTTTGAAGGTGAGGGGCATTTTCTGATGTGACTTTAGACACAGAAAACTGATTCTTACTGGTGACTTGAAAGGGGACTGGCTGGAAGTACATGCTGCCTGTTTGTATTTAAAAGAGAAGGAAAAAAAAAAAACTTGCATTTTGACTGACAGGCTACTAAATGCCTGTATTTTGGAGTGGCATTTGCAGAAGCCTCAGTACATAATTTGATTTCTGCCTGTCAGTCTGGAAATGACGATTTCCTTACTTCCGAGCGGGGCTCAGCAGCGCTCAAGACGTTTAGATTTCCCATGAGCCGTCTCCACCCTGTTTTCCAGCAGCGTGTGCTGGCGGAGACCCAAGTCCCTGGGGAAACATCTCCAACTTCAGGACCTCCTAGAAACCGGGCCTTGGGAGGAGACCTCTGGCCTCTCACGCTCAAGGCTGCCGTGTTCAAACCCCCTGTTTCTTTGCCTCTTAAAGCCTTATAAGCCAAGATGCTGGGCACAGCTTTGCAGAGCCAGGATGCCAGTAACCTCCTTGGAAGTCTAACTTCTGTGTCTTGGCTCTCTTTCTTTTCGTTGCCAGGCATGAAAGTTTGCTTTAGGATGTCTCTAAGCACCGGGGTACTTACAAGAACATGTGTTTTGAGGAGGAAGTTGATGAAATTCCTGCGTGGTTCTTAGTACTTCATATAAAATCAAATGTCACTGACAATCTAGACTGACTATCAGAAAGGGGACAAAGGGATGTGGTGTCTGTACCTGAGTTAAAATGTAGGACACATTTTAATGAAAAGAATGCAGCCTTTTGGGAAGCATGGGTGTATCCACTGGATGCCACAGGCTTTTGCAGCTTGTAAGGATCAAATCCTAGGGCTGCTGAAGTGTTTTGCTGTGTTGGCCCAAGGGCAATGGGCCAAGTAATCTCTGAGCAGCAGCGCTCGAGCGGAGCTTTGGCCCCAGGGCAGCACATGAGCTGCAGTAAAGGTCAGAAACCCTGCCTGGCCTGGCCACGCTGAAGAGCTAAAATCCAGTGTGTGCACGCAGCTCTTGCCATCTCCGTCCCGCATGGAGCAGGGCCGGGAGGTGATGGCCAAGGGCGTGAGGCAGGTGGCACGTGGGTTTCCTCTCATGGTTGGGAATGGGCTCCTCCTTACGACTCCCCTCTCCACGGGGGTGGCAGTGCTGGAGACTCGGTCTGTAAGCTCTTGTGCCTGTTTGTGAAAGGGTGCAGAATCAGGTTTTTTTTCCGACCCTTTTTACTTGAAGGCCTTAATTTAGTCCATACATAAAGAGGTTGTTGAAGGAACCGCTGCTAGAACTGGTAAAAGCTGGGGAAGGTTTAGGAGCTCCAGGGGAAGCTCAGTTGTCTATCCCAGGCTTTCGGAGCGCCCGTGTCACACAAGGCTGCAGCGGTCAGGCCTTGGGAAAATGCCAGGCGAAGGGAGCTGGCTGGGGAGGGAGCAGAGGTGTTTGACACCCTTGCATTTTCTGGCTTTGCTGATCCCCATCTCCTCTTGCCACCGCACCCAGACCTTGCCAGTGGTGTCCCCAGCAGCCTTGCAGGCCCTCAGCCCTGCCTTGTGGCCTTCTCTGAAGCTGCAGCCCTCGAGAAGTTCATTTCCCCTGGTAAGGGATTTAAGAAACTGTCTCAGAGCTGGTTTGGGTGCTCTTCCAGAGGAGCGGGACCTGCCTGGAGAGGCTCAGTCAGGATGAGTGTGGGGAGGGGTTAAGGTTCTGTTTCCCTGATTTGTCTGATTTGACAGTGGTCTTCTAGCACTGTCATAATGACCTTATTTTTAATGTCTGGGAGGTTCCTGTATGCTGTAGGATGCCTGAAGGAGGAAAAAAAAAAAAGATCAGACAAGTAGGTGACTAAGTCTGCAGCTTCTTCTGCTTGTGAAGAGAACAGGCCAGGGATAACTCCCCCAGCACGAGTGCTGGGCAGCTGCTTCCCTCTCCTTCTGGGCTGAGTGGCCTGTGGAGGTGGGAGAGAAATCCATGTGCAGTTACAGAGCTATCCTAGGGTCTTGTCCTGGGGCATTACCACCAGGAGGACAAATGTGGGTAACTTCCATCTGGTATTTCCAAGCCTTGAGAGCACTACGGACTGGAGGAAATGAGGTGGGTGGTGGTGGTTTGCCAGCTGGTTTTTGTTTTTCGGTGCATGACTCCCAATGCTCGTGGGTGTAGGTGGTGCTTGACAGCGGAGTGGAGCGCGTTGCTGCTGTCCTGCCTGCCCCAAAGGGCTTCTCCCACACGGGCGGCCAGAGGCAGCTCCCTTTGCTCGCGTGCGTTAGCCTCAGCAGAGGGGCTCCCCGAGCTCACTAGGGGTGTTTCCCCACATCAGGGGTCAGGCCAAGCCGGGCAGGTTTCAGCAGTCCGTTTGAATAGTAGGTCTCTGACCCCGTCTGCTGACGCTTCAGCTGGGGACCTTGTCAGAGGACATTGTTGTGAGCATGACCTTCTGTGGTGACCAGAGGGTTGGGTCTGCTGAAATCACTCCCGTGAGCCACGGCTCTAAGTCTTCTCTGCCTAATGAAGGCCTTAAAGGCAGGGTGGGGGGGAGCTGCTTGATTGGGCTCCTCCGGAAATTGGAAGCTTATGTGCAAGTGTGGGAAAATTCCTGTTGGAGCTGTGTAGTGTGGTGAGGAGTCTGGGAGCAATTGCTCCAATGGCTCCTGAGTGATTCCAGATGCCTCCGAGGGAACGGAAAGATGTAGGTAGTTGTCCCGACTGCTCCCAAGTGGAGCCTGTGAGCAGGGGAGATGTTAGTTTTGTTTGGTTTGTTTGTTGTCGTTCAACTCTCTACCTTCTATTCTTGTCTAGAAGGAAAGTTTCTAAAAGGCAGAGAATATTTCTAACTCCTGTGCTGGTCCTTGCAGTTTAGTAAGAAACATCCCTTTCCTGGGATGCAGATGCAGCAGGGCGCTTTTCTGTGTGCCTGAACATAAAACGCCTCATGAGCCTATCAGTTCAGCTCATCTTAAGTGTTGGGCAAGTTTCACATGAAAGCAAGTTTTGGCTTTATAAGGTAAAAGGTTAAAACCTTCATTGCAAAACTGGAAATGATTGCAGAAAGGAAAAAACAAAGGCAGCTCATGAGGGACTGTAGTTTCTCTGAACGCTATTTAGACTGAATCTCTGTGAGAGCAAAGAGGTCTTGAGGGGTTCATGTTCAGACCGTTGTTAACCTTTTCTCTCAAGAAGTGGATTGAATTACAGTTATAAAGTCGACAGAACTTGTACCATAGGGTTTTGCATTTTGTCTTGACGTGGGCTGGCGTTTACAAGGCTCTACCTAGCAAGTATTCACACACAAGTAGGTTCAAGGATTGCTTGCTCTACAGCAATGTAGCCGTTATTTCCATAGCGCAGAGAATCTTTTAAGTGCCCTTGTTCTTGGATCCGGCACAAAATCCAATTAACTGAATTTTGCCCAATTGGGTTTCTCACTGTTCGTCTTGTACCAAGTGGGACACAAGCTGAGCCTAGGAACAGGTCCTTCAAAGACAAAGGACATGTGATTTAGTGGGGTGGGTTGGTTCATTTGTCTTCCATGCCCTAAAACCTTCCTGGAGGGAGCTTTTGGGGAGTAATGTTTAAGAAGCTGATGTGGATTTAAGGTGTCAAGTGGAGATTTCTCCATCTTTCAGTCAGGGAGGTAGGTGGCTCCTGAGGGGTGCCCTTCACTAGGGCTGTTCTGCAGAGTCACCATGAGCTGCCAGAGGAGACAGAGGTCTAAGCAATACAAATGGGCTGATTTCGGGGCAGTTTCCTCATTTGGGGGTTGTTATTTTTAATTGAATGGCTTTTGAATACTTCTGTAAGAAATTTCTCTGACTTGCCTGCAACCTGCAAGGACAGGTCTGCCTTGGTCACCTAAAAATGTCTTTCTCCTAAAGAAAGCTTTAAAAACAAAACAAAAAAATTGTATCAGTAAATATGTAGATATATTAAAAATGTCATCAGTTATGTCAGGAGAAAAAAATAAAAACTGAACATCTAGTTACCTAGCTGAACTGTTTGCAAGATGCATTTTGGTCATCACTGCGACAAACACTGTGTCCCTGCTGAAGATGCTGACTGGCTGAATTGCTGTATTGTGTCTGTTTGGCAGGATAGGGAAGAGGTGAGGAGAAATGTGAGGCCTTCAGCACGTGAGACTTCATGGGGAAAAAAACCAACAGTGATTTTAGAAATGTCATTTTAACGTAACTAATGGCATTTTAAAACAGAAAACTTGGTTGCAACAAAGCCGTTTCCCATGCTGTTGTGGAGTAGCTATGTAAAACACCTAAAATCGGTGATCTAGTGGCTTTCTAGGGTAAGTTATGGGACAGTTCTGTACCCTGGCATTGCACACACAGTACATTGAGGGGCTGCCTCCCTCATTCCTGTAAGAGAAGGTTCCACCCCTTTTCCTGGCTTGGACCTAATCAAGAGCCTCTAGCACAACAGCTGTGGGGAAAAGATAGCACTAAGGATGTTCTGGGCCTCTCTGGTGCAGAGTCCCTGTTGTAATGAATGTGCGTGGCCCTAAATATAACCATCTCGATGCCTGCTGTCTGCACTGGGAGATCTACATCTACTGGGACAACAAGTGTCACAAAAATGTATCAGATGGAGCTGAGCAATGTTCTCTGTGTCATAATCTGCTTGTTCGTGGTAGTTTCTTCTTAATGTGTGGAAGTGGCTGTTGGGAGGTGGAAGTGTGGCTCTGTGCAGCCTCTTCAGAAGAGCAGTTGTGCAAAAGACACCTTCCTTGGAGCCATCACAGACATCACCTTCTCCTTTTTTCCAGACTGTCCACAGCCGCCGCAGCCTGAGAATGGAGGCTACAAGTGCCACCCGAGTCCCTGCAACGACCCGCTAGTTTCAGGCAGCGTCATAGAGTACCTGTGTGGTGAAGGCTACATGCTGAAGGGGGACTACAAATACCTGACCTGTAAGAATGGGCAGTGGAACCCGGCCATGGAAGTCAGCTGCAGGCTCAGCCCGGGTGAGTGCTGGAGACACCACTGGGGCTCTCAGGGCTGCCCTCACCTCTGCTTTGCAGCTCCTCCACAAGCACTGAGGCACTGTTTTGCTGAGGTGCAGCAGATAGGCAGCCTCTGTGGTCCTGTACCCCCTTGCTGCAGCAGTTTAGTAAAGGCAGCTAACAACCACAGAGGTCTCTATTAAAAATGTCTCTTCTGCTGCAAGCCCACCATCCTTTGCAGGAAGGCATCCCATGGGAAGGAGTGCAAAGGGGGCAATTTAGAATTTTTGGGGTCCCTTCTTTTTGTCAGCTCTGGCTTTAGAGTTGGGGGAGGCCCTAACTTAAGCAATTTGTATCCTGTCCATTTTTGCTTCTGCTCATTGGTGCCCCTTTTTGTCAACACGTGCTGCTGTGAGGGAGAATGTGGAGCTCATCTTCTTACTTGCAAACAGATTAAACTGCTGGCCTCAGTGCCCCAGCACTGAGCTCAGTGGGTCTGCTTTTCTGTAGGCTGGAAGAAAAGGATGTTGCTGACAAATGGTTTCTGCTGCTTTCTAAATGGGAGCAGACAGCTTTTGTTTTGTGGATGTCTCCCAGCTGAACAGGAATTCCTCTAGCAGGACACAGTAAAAAAGTTTGAGGGGAAAATGTTTGTCATACAACTCTTAATTATCCAGGGCTCTTCTGATTTTAAAAGCATGTGTAGTGGATAAGGAGAGAGCTCCTGCACCTCCAGACTTTTGCTTTGACCTGTTGGTGTAGTCTATTTGCTCAGTCATGCTGAGTCAGCAAGATATACATGCTGGGATTAAGTCACGTAAATCAAAATGTAAAATGTGCTAGTATAATCAGAAGGAAACAAGGAGGGGAAAATAATAATAATAATAATAATAATAATAATAATACCCCTCAACCTTTTCAAGCCCTTCTTGCTGCTCACTGCAGTTCTGTGACCACTGGGACATCCTGTCCTGCTCCAAAGACACTGTCGCAGTCCAGGCTTTGCAGTAAGTGATGAGGGCAACGGAGAGCTGAGGTTTAACTAGTAGCTCCCTCTGACAGGGAGCAGGGAGGCTAGAGGGAAAGAGGAGATGCGTTCAGGCACAGTCGTACCACACAGCTGAGGGACAGGAGACTACACAGGAAGGGTAGGAAGGAGGAATGTGGGCAGGACAGGCACATGTAACATGTGTAAACTTAACATCCTGGAGCAACATCTTGGCATCCCTCTCTGTTCCCTGGGATATGTGTTTGTGAGAAAACTGAGGGGTTGTTGCACCTTTGACACAGCAAGCCAGGTGGAGATTTCCACCCCTTCCTTTGCAAGACGGTTCCATTAGCCAAGAAAACCCATTATATAGAACTTTTCCTATTGTTTGACCTAAAATATCCTGCTTATTGTCCCTTGCTGATGACATCAGGACATTTTTTAGCTGTTGCTCAGCAAGATCTATGTCTAACGTGACCCTTATCACCTTCCCACCTCTGTAAGCCCCCATGGCCTGCCTCCATTGCCTGCCTTTGTGCTGCTTCTGTGGTTCTTCTGAAGAAAAACCTTGTCTTGATTCCCCTTTGTAGCTGGAGAGGAGAGGAGTTGGGTCAATCTCTCTGTCCTCTAGAGGAGATTCTCTCTGCCTTGACTATTAGGAAACTTGTCTTTTCTCACATTCACCCGAGTCCCAAGAGCAGACAGGATGATTTTTTCTCCTTCCCTATGGGTGTGATTTAAGGGAGTAGCTCTTCCTAACTTTCGTTCCTCTCTGCTTGTAGAAAAGGACTCTCCCCCGGCGATCGGAGTGCCCACGCTCTCCATAGTGGCCTCCACAGCGAGCTCCGTCGCCCTCATTCTTCTCTTAGTTGTGCTCTTTGTTTTGCTGCAGCCCAAGCTGAAGTCATTCCATCACAGCAGGTGAGTCTAGCCGCAGGTCGGAGGGGCTCACAGGTGGCCCATTTCTCTGCAGCAGAAACCCAGTAAGGTGTTTGGTTTAGGCCTTAGAAAGACACCTGTCCCTCTGCATGACACTTGGATCTTCCAGTTTTTGTGCATTTCCAAACACAAAGCTGAGAGTGCTCTGGGTTACACAGATGCTCTGGCCCCACCTCCCTTTTGACTTGCCAGCCCCAAGGCATCTGTGTGTGTGAACACCCTGCCCAGCATTGCCACGTTGCACATCTCAGGGACCCCTCTCCCCAGGGCCTGGCAGGACTGAAGGACTGTGGGCTGCAGTGCCATGAGGTTTTTCCATGAGTTGGTTTCTTCCCTTTTGCCTTGGCCTCAAATGTATAAAGTTGTTATCCCTGTCGGAGTGTCCAGGTATTTATGTGTCTCTCCCAGTCTGTTTGTTGGATCCTGCGATCATGAATTCTGCCAGAATTGTTAACTGGATGTGCAAATCTGCTGTAGTTCCCTGCTGAAGGGATGCAATCCTCCTGGCCTGGGTTTGTAGAAGAGTGGAGGGACTTGGCTCTAACACTGTTGCTGTCTGAGGTGAACAGTGTCACTGGTCCACTCCTCACTCTTTGGCCCCAGCCACTGGTGCTCCTTAAGCAGAAGGACAAGTTGGTCTGTCCAGCAGCTGGAAGGATTGAGAAGTGGCACCCTGGGCTCAGTCCTTTTCTGCAGAAGTCCAAGCCATTATGGGCAAGAAAAAAATGAATCCTAGTCCTCTGACTCATGCGCCTGGGTGGATTCACAGTGGGGTGATTTAAGAGCCGCCTGCCCCACCTCTGCCAGAGGCCCTCTCCAGCTGCAGAGGTGGCAGAGCAGGCAGTGCGGGGTGTTGCAAAGCCCAGGGGTATCCAACTCAAATCTGGTTATCAGAGTGCTCTTCGGCTGCATGCTGTGGCACCAGAGAGCTCTGACTCACGATCCTTGTCAGATTTAGCTCTGCAGGTGGCTCTTGATCTGTGAGACATCAGCCCTTGCAGATAAATCTGTCAGGCCCTTGAATTACACCCTTGCTCGTGTTTATGACAACTCGCAGCAGAGCTGCAGGGCTGTGCTGGCTTGTAATAGGAGCTTGGTAAAACACCACCCAGGTGGTTCTTCTGGTCTCCTGTAAGTGAGTAACTGCTGAGCATTAGAGGGATGCTGAGGCAGAGGCAGGTGGTTACTGGGGTTCCTAATGTGCGTGTGTGTGTTTATAAATATATATTCTCTGAAACAAAACCCCTCAATGTGACTTTTTCTTTTCCTCTGTGTCTTTTTGAGGCGAGACCAAGGCGTGTCTGGGGATCAGGTCTCTATCATGGTGGATGGTGTCCAGGTGGCCCTGCCGTCCTACGAGGAAGCGGTGTACGGCAGCACGGGCAGCTGCGTCCCGCCTTCGGATTCCCGCGTGCAGATCGTGCTCTCGGAGGGAGCCGGGCAGAACGGAGCCAGGGAGATGCAGCAGCAGGACCAGGGCGCTGGCAGTAGCTTTGACAGAGAGGATGAAGCCCCAGGACACTCTGGACTCTGTGAAGCCAGTGGCTCTCAACGCTCCGAGACTGTTCTCGTGCATCAGGCCGCTACCTCGTCCTGGGTAGCTGGCATGTCTAGTAGTAGACCTATGCACAAAGAGGCCCAAGACTCAGAAAGCAGTGACATACAGAGCCTTTTATCACTCACTTCCTCGGAGGAATACACAGATGGTACGTGACCTGCACGAGGAGGGCTCAATGAGACCCTCATAAGAGACTCTTACACTTCTTTTGCAGGAGCAGGTGGCCCCTTGCAGCAGGAAGGATGCTCAGGCTACCTTGCAGTGGTAGCCTGAGCATCAAGACATGGGAGCCTATGTTGCTTTCAACAGTGTTTTTTGTGTGTTGGATTGTATGAAGTTTGACTTTTTTTTTTCCCTGCTTTTTCCTATGCAGATATTCCCTTATTGAAGGAAGCATGAGGCCTGCTGCACTTGTGTAGCCTTCTCCTCATTGGGTTCCTCGCTCTCCCCCTGCTCTCGGGACAGCAGCTTCCTGTGCAGCCTTCCCGTCCTTGCAAGCCGTGCCCCGGATGCCTCCAAGCGGAGATCTCCAGCTGAAGATCCAAAGGACGTTTTCAGGTCGCCTCCTGGGAGCACCAGCGGGGTTGGTGCCGTGCTGGCTTCCCCATTCCATCTGCAAGGGGCTCAAGGGACGTGGTGGATTTGAGCTCTCCTCTTCCCCCAGCCAGATGTTTTGCAGCAGTCTCTGGAGAGCTGCTCTTCTCTTGTGCCTTTCTCCTCCTCACACCGGCTTGTCGCAGCTTCTCAGCCTCTCTAGCCCTTCTGCTGCCCAGCGAGCAGGGGCTAAATCTGCTTGCTCATTGGGTGCAGACAGTTTATATACACATATGTATATTCTATACGCTCTTCTTCCAGCATCCTCTTTAGGGCAGGGCAAATAGGACTGGACCTGAGTTTAGGAGGGATGTGGGTTACAGGGCAACTGGCGATGTCTGGAAGTGCCTGGAATGAGATGGGCTGGCTGATCACGGAGCTGTGCAATAACAATCTGTGGGAGTTTGCTGGAGCGCCGAGGGCAGACAGGCCCGGTGTTTGGGAAGGCCCTCTGCCCCCTCGGTAGCTGCTGGGGCAGCAGAGCAGCTGCCTCTGCAGGAGCCTCCTCCTGAACGTGTCACTGGGCTGCCCTTCCTTCCCCAGCAGCACAGCCCTTGGCTCTGCTGGAGCCTGGGGCTCTGCTTGGGCAAGGCACTCGTTCGGCTCTGGTCTGCTGCTCGAGCAGCTCCTGCTCCGAGGGTGTTGGATAGCCATGGTGGCCACTGGTCAGCAGGGCCCAGAAAGGAGCCTTTCCTAAGCCAGCCCGGAGCAGCTGGAAACTTTCCTTTAAGGTGGTCCGTGTTAACAGCGAGTTGGAGCCGTTCACGCAGCCATGGGGCCTGGGCGCTGCTGCGTGGCCCTGTCCTGCACGTTGTGGGGCTGCCAGGGCTTCCCCACGTACCGAGCCTGTTGTGCCTGGGTTCCTCCTGCGCAGGCCTCAGGCAGAGGCAACGCTTTGGGAGGTCATCACGTGGTAGCTTTTGCTTGACGCTATCAGGATAAAAATGCCCGCGTGCAGTGAAGAGAAATGACCTTGCCAGTCACGCCGGGTACCTGAGCAGCTGCGTCCCGGGCAGCTGCCGTCGGCTCCCATGGCCAGAGCAGCTTCCTCGCTTCGCGCCGTCCGGGTCTGCAGCGGACGGGCCCCGGCCGCCGCGGGAGGGCTCTTCCCCATGCCGGGGGGCACAGGGCTCCGTAAAATCTGCAGTGCTGCCTGGGCGCTGTAGCTGTGCAGGAAGGCTGGCCACGCTTGGATGCTGCTGCCAGAGGATACCACAACTTATTCCAGAACAAGAATATTAAAGACTGTTTTCAGGAAGTTCGGTTAGAGAGAAAAAAAAGTCCAAGAAGAAGAACATCCCCTCACCCTACATCACCCGTGGCAGGGCTGAGTGTCGCGGCTGCTGTTAACAGGATCTCAGTGCAGGAACCTAGTGCGTGTGGGATGGGTGAGCCAAACAAAACCATGGTGGTAGCTGCAGGGGTCAGTGGGATGGTCTGGGAACGGTGTTCCCCGGAAACGGTGTTCCCCGGAACCTGCTCCAGCTGATGAGGAGGCTTCTTGCGAGGCGTGTGTCCTCCAAGCTGCCCCGAGGCAGTGCTCGCCCTGCGAGAAGCTGCCCAATTCCCAGCTGGGAAGGGAGGGAAACGTCCTGGCCTTCCGTGGCGCGCGGTAGCACCCAGGGGGACGGGCCCTCTGCACTGCAGCTCGGGAAGGGGCTGCTGCGGCGCCGGCTGCACAGCGTGACCGGCGCTTTTCCAAAGGTGGCCAGGCTGGGGCTTGGATCCTGGAACCGGGCTCGGCCTCCTGCCGGCTGCTCCTCTTCCTGGGCACTGTTAATTTGGGGAGAGCTGGGGCAGATGTGCACATGCTGGTGGATGGAAGTGCTGTCTTCCCTGGGCTTGTTTTAGAGGGACGTTATTAGATGAAAAACACAGTATTTTGAGTTTCCTTCCCTGTTGCTCATATCTTAGGCTAACAAAAAGATTTGGTAAGTCCAGTTTGGCCAATTTCAGGGATTCTGTGCAGTTTGAAAATTCCCTGTCATTTTACCCAGGGCTTTGGTATGGCCTCAACTTGAGGCCATGCAGGGGGCAAATGCTGTTTCTCCATCTGCTGTTAAATCTGGTCCGGTCTCTTCAAGTGCTGCATCTCAACCAGCAAAGAAGTGGTTAAGAAAAATGAAGCCGGAAAGAGGGGCATTTTTTGCAGCATGGAGCCTGTGAAGTTGTCACCAAGGTGCAGAACTCTGTTAACTTGGGAAGGAGCAGAGCTTAGTGCGTTTGTTTGGTATTTCAGCATCTAGGGAAGTCAGGTGTGTGAGGAATAAATACATCCTGCCTGCCTGGGGCGGGAACAGAGCTTTTCCCGGGTAGATGATCCGAGTCAGGCCCGTGGGTGAGGGAGGAGCAGCCGCTGGGACTCACCTGGAACAGGAGGTGGCTGCGGGATGGGTAAGGGCACGAGGGAGAGCCCCGGCAGCCCCGCTCCTTCCCGGCGCCTTTGTGAAACCCGGCCTGGCTGCTCTCAAGGCACTTGCATTAAAATCTGCCTTCCTGCTGCATCTGGATACCCGGCAGTTTTCCCTTTGTTTCCTGTAATTAAATGCGAAAAATCCCATCCCTCCTCCTCACACACCAGCCTCAGCCCAGCCCGTGCGGCCCTGGCCCGAGGATGGTGGGTTCGGCTCGCTCCACGCCAGCACCTTTCTTGCAGAGGAGCTTTATCCCAGCCAGCCTTGCTGGATTGCGCTGAAAGGCTTTGGAAAGCACCAAGAGGCTCCTCGGAGCAGGCTCAATGCCAGGGAGTGTCTTGAGGCAGGAGCGGAGCCCCCGTCAGCAAGAGCCGCTCTCCCGGTTATCCGCACCCCCAGCTTCTGCAGGCGGCTTCCCCTTCCCCGCCGGGCGCCGCTCCGAGCGCGTCCCGCCGCATGGATGCGAGCGTATGTATGGAAACAGGCCCTGGCACTGCGGGCAAGCGGGCACGGCGGCCTCGGAGCAGCGCCGGGGGTGCCTTGGGTCCGAGCTCGGCCGGCCTCGCCTGCTTCAGAGCAAGGAAACAGGCTGAGCCCTCCGCGAGGCGGCGGGCACGCGCGCAGCGGGAGCTCGGTTGCCTTCAGTGCATTAATCTTCTTTTCCTTTTCCTTTTTCTTTTCTTTTCCTCCCTGTTTGGCTCTTTCTTTTGTGCGTTTTTTTTTTTTTTTTTAACCCTGAATTGCACCACTATGGAATTATTTGCAGAATGGTACTCCATATATATCTGGGTTTTAAAAACAAAACCATAATTGATGCTGTGCAGGATGTCACTCAATCAGTTTTATTTTGCTTTATTTTATATATATTTTTTTCCGGTATCCTGTACATTGCAGTGGGTGTGAAGATAGTATTTTAATATTTGTACAAAGTTTAATTTAATTGTTCTATGTATATAACTGCATTTCTAAATTAAAAAAAGAAAAACCCTTTTGAAGTGAAGCTGTGAACTCGTGTGTGTCCGTAACCCGAGGGGCTCCAGAAAGGCTGAGCCTGTGCCCGGGGCAGGAAGAGAAAAGTGCACGTGAGGAGGGCGCCTCGAGGGAAGGCTGCTTCCCGGGAAGGCCGACGGAAGGATGTTCCAGGAGCACGAGACATGGAGACGTGGGTGCCCCAGCCCCGCTATAGCTTTAGGCTTTAACTCTTCACCAGGATTAAAGGCGCCTGGAGCCCTTCCTCGCAGCCTGCCTGCTGCCGCCCGAGGGAGGGCTCTGCGGGGCCCATTGAGCTGTCCCTGTGGGGCAGCGCAGCTCTCCCATGGCCAGGCCTCTTGGGGCCCTCACGGAATGCGGGGCCCCTCCGGAAAGCAGCAGCACTTGGGTGCTGAGGGTGGGACGGGAGAGGGAGCGGTGGCCGAGCGGGTGCCTGACCCTCCTCCAGGTGAGCGGCCGCCGAGGGCGCTGCCCTGCAGGCCGAGCCGCCAAGGAGCCCAGCGCGATGGCGGCGGCTCTTAGAGCCGAGGAGCCGTGCGGAGGCGGCGGGAACCCGGCTGCGGGCTGAGGCCCTCCCGGACACGGCTGGTGCCACAGGCCGGGGCTCCGCTGCTCTGGGCACTTGCCAGGACCAAGGGGGAACATGCCGCAATCTGCACCGCTACCCGTAAGGCAGCCGGGCGCCACGTAACCTTCCCCGGGAGCGCTAAAGGGGTTGGCTTGTTGCTAAAGCTGTTGGGTGCCTCTCCTGCACTCCTTGGTGCATCCTCAAAAGCCTTGTGGATACCTGTGAATGTGTCTTCCCAGCGTCTCCATGAGTTGTCCCTTCTCACAGGCGGTGCCACAGGGAATGGAAACCTGCAGTGACCTCCTTAGTCACAGAGCAAGGCTACAGGCGGCCCTAGGGACATGGCCAGCCTGTCCCCTCAGCCCTAGGGACAC